ATAATATATTCATGTGTGATTGCAACTAGAAAACAGATTTTGACTGCAGTAGTAACTACACAGTTACCTTTAAACAAAAGAAGATGCAGCATAACATCAAACACTCTCAGTTCATCTTGGACTTGAACACAGACGCTACTATCCTTCACAATGGTGACACAAAAACCGTTATGCTATTTTTCTTTTTCCTTTTTTGATTTTACGGAAAAATACTGGCAGCTGTGGTTGCCAGTAATTTACTGTTTTTAACATTTTAAATTCATAAATTCAGTTTACAGAATATTTCTGTTAAAAACAAATTTCACAGTCTGTATTTTTTATATTTTTTATTTTTTCATTAACCACTTGTATATCCCAGAAGTGTTCAGGAAAAGCCAAAAATTAGCAAAAAAAAACTCGACACAAAGGAACATTTACACATCACTGCCAACTAGCGTTTTGGAAGTGTTAATGCAGACCAACAGAGACAGCGTGCAGAAGTATAAATGCACAGCTATGCGCGTTGCATGCGCCGTGGATTACGCCGGTTACTTGACGCAGAAGTATAAACCAGGCTTAAGTCAGTGAAGAAAAAGAGCAAAGCTTTTGACTCTGGTGGGACTCAAACCCACAACCTTTGAATGGCTCAGCTGACAGCCTAGAAGTCCAATGCGCTATCCATTGCGCCACAGAGCCTGAATGCTCTGCTGCCTCTGGCACTGTTGCACAGAAAACACTTTTTGGTTCTCTCTGGCCCATGAAAGAACAGCCAACTGCGGACAAGGCACTGCTGGGATTCGACGCGGGATCTCCTGTTTACTAGACAGGCGCTTTGACCAACTAAGTCACAGCGCCGAAGGACCTCGACAGGGACTAATTGTTTAATTCGAAAAAAGAAGAAAAAAACTAACAACGGTAGCGCTGTATGTGTGAATGTCTGGACTTGAAATATTAAAGTCCAATTGGTTACGCATTACCACACTATGCTATATAAAGCCATCGTCCAAAGCCCTCTTGAACGAGCATCGTTCTTAAGGATTTGAGTTTTGTTAAGAAAACGACTGCTAAACATCTCGCTGCGTAAACACTCGTAACTATTAACAAAAAGCAACCCTGGCACCAGTACATTAGGCACAGCTGGGATTTGAACCCATGACCTCCAGTTTATTCGACAGCCGCTTTGACCAACTAAGCCACAGGGCCTATGCTAAAAATCGAAGAAAGACGTTTATGCACACAGAGACAAAAAAAGACAGTAAGTCTAAAAATGGCAAGCAAAGAGGTTGTTTAACTCTATTTGTCGCACTATTCGTTACGCCTCAAAGCAATACAATTTTATAATTCATTCCGGTAAGCTCTATAAAACAAGCACACACACACACCACCTGGACTAAGGCACTGCTGGGATTTGAGCCCAGGATCTCCTGTTTACAAGACAGCCGCCTTGACCAGCTAAACCACAGCACCACAAAAATTAACCCTAAGAGACATTTGCCTGATAACAAAAATCGAAGAAGAAAAAACCAATACACAACAAAAACCAGCATGTCAGGATGCAGAAAATGCTGACAAGATGGACGTGGTCTTTTAGAGTCTGGATCAGGCCCGGATTGGCTAATCGGGAGGACCGGGAGAATTCCCGGTGGGCCAGTCAGTTTTTTGGCCGCGAGGGCCGGTGTCCCTAGCTCCAGAATCTGTTGCTTACAGCAGTCACACTTTTTAAATATATTTATCAATTTACTTGATCACAGCCTTTTTATTCATTATTTTACCGCAGCTTATGATATAACTTGATCATCTTTTATTTCTGAAAAGTTGTTGTGGTTCAGTGGCTAGCACGTTAGTTTTCGACCCTGCAGACCCAGGTTCAATCTTCGTCAAAGTAAGTCTTTTTTTTTTTTCATTTTTATTGTTAAGACATATAATACTGTTAGGGTTGTTGAACATTTGAAGTTCTAAAGCAGTTGTTTCCTCAAAAAAGACGTGATAGTGTCATTAGAAACTGAATTGGAAATGACCTTATTTTAATATAGTCAGTCGTGAACTGAGGTGGGCCGGTCTGAGGCTTGAAACTCCAGGGCTGAAAAGTAGTCCCACTCCGGCCCTGGTCTGGATGATCATGTCTCAAACCTGACCGGTAACCTGGCCTCTGTTCAAGATCAAAGCAAAAAATGCGTTAATTCATTTTTATTGAATCTATCCTTAATCATGTGTTAAGTGTTTTTTGGAACCTCCAGTTTTATTACATCCAAACCCAGAGTCAGCTCGGAAAATGGAAATCAGGTACTATGCATAAAGAGGCTCTTGAACGACATTGCTGATGATTTCGAGGATCTGATCTGATGATCTGTTATATGATCAATAGATCTGTCCTTCACAACACAAGCAGCGATCTCAGATCAGTTTATCCAGACATTCTAATCTGATTCGCGAACTTCTTTAAAGAACCAAATTAGCGAGAGATCAGTTATCAAGATTAAAAGATTCAGGATCTGCCAAATCATCTTAGATCATTTAAGCGAGGTACAAAGAACGGACCCCAGGGAATATGACTCAGGAACTACGAGTCCTCTCAGGAAGTGATTTGTTAATCTGCGCGTGCGCACATTTGTGCAGGTGGTATAGTTATTTCAAGTCTTCATCACATTTCGTGTCGTTCATTGCGGAAAGGCAGAAACCAATCATAGGCATTTAGAGAGGGAAAAATAATTGATCCGTTCACCTCTCGAGTCCTCTATCGGGTCTGTGTCACTTGTTCATCACGGGCTAATCATACGCGTTTAGAGCGGAAAAAGAATTGATCCGTTCACCTCATGAGTCCTCTATCAGGTCTGAATCACTCGTTCCTCACGGGCCAATCATACGCGTTTAGAGCCGGAAAAAGAATTGATCTGTTCATCTCTCGAGTGCTCTATCGGGTGTGATTCAGTCCTTCATTACAGGCCAATCATACGCATTTAGGGCCGGAAAAAGAATTGAACCACTCATCTCTCGAGTCCTCAGGTTTGAGTCATTCTGTCACGTAAATATGGAACGACTTAAGACTTGATAGGTGAACTAATTATCATGGCTCCTATCGGCTCAGACTGTGTACATTGGTTAAGATTAAATGTGACTGCCAGTGTAACATGAACGAACTACTGACATTAGAAGACATGAAGAGATGAGCTGAGCAAAGTGACAAAAATGCCTTTAATGACAAAAGAGCAGGTAAACGTTAAAGTATTATTTTCTCCTTCTGATAATATTCTATTTGTCACTTATGTATTACGCAATCAACCTTTTGGGCTAGTTGTAGATGTGTTTGAAACTAATTAGTAAAATTTTAATAACATTTTGGCAAATTGAACCAAATGAACGAAATGACTCGAAAAAAGATTCGTTCATCTCGATGAACGAGACTCAAAGATCCGAGTCAGTAAAATGATCCAAACTTCCCATCACTAACCAGGTTTTTAAATAGATGCATGTAGTATGCAATAAATAATGCACTTTGCATTGCTTGAGAAAAAAATACCAAATTATTATTATCTATTTTACAAATGAAAGTAATTAGAATTTACAGTTTGTAGTTGTTTTCTCTGAAATGATGCAAGCAATCAATAAAGATAAAGGCCTTACTGTTTAAATAAATTGCAGTTTATTACAAAATATACATCTAAACACACAGCAAGCATATGACAGAAATAAAACAATTATATATAAAATACAATTTTGAAATGAATTAAAACTAAAGTATAAAAGGCAGTGCATAATAACAATTTACTATTAGGGTCAAAATACAGGTTAAAATCACAATGCTTAAGCTGTTTAAAAAACAACTCTATTGAATTAATTGAGAAAGATACAATATGCCTATCACAGAAACTAAAATGCAGATACAACCATAGAAAAAAATATTCCCGCTGGATTAGCAGGGTCAATAAATAAATTAATTAATTGATAACAAATGAATTTTTAGGTGGTGTAAAACTGTCGGGAAGCCGTTTCTCTACAGTGCCACATTTACTAGAATTCCATCTCGGATTTTCCAGAAATACGAAGTATTAGTGACCCAGAGACTTGAGAACAAGCTTGAAATATTACAACCACTGGTAAGAATTGCAAGTTTGTTTTTAAATTACAATTATTATTTTTTCAAAATATCATTGTTTAATGACTAGATGCTATAAATAAAATACAGCGCTGCTGTTGCACTGTTTGCAAAACTGCTACATTATTATAGAGCATTCGCTGCGACGACGATAGGATCTGTTGTCAGGTTTATGTTCCCTCTACTATTTAGAGATTTCCTCTGAAATCTGTAAAATCACTATTGTAAAGTAACCAGAATTTCAGTATCTTTCCAAATATTTTACTGTTCTCTGAAACTCTGAATATTTCACTTTAGTTTTATTTAGGATATATTATTTTACGCAACAATCGCTCAACCGGATGTGCGTGCGACCAGCCGTGAAAAAGGCCTAGAAGTCATGACTAGGCCCACACAGAATCTGCGCGTGCAGAATTCCGCAGATTTTCTACAGAATTCCGCAGATTTTTAGCCCTTTATTAATTCTGTTTATTTACTTTGAGTAAATGTGTGTAAATCTAAATTTATTCAGTTTTAAAATTAATTACAGTAATATTATTGACTAATATGAAAATGTTAATTGGATTTAAGTACAATGCAGTTTGTAAAGTAATATTTTCTGTCTTTTAGTAGATATATTATATGAGAGACTTGCTTTGTTAACCAAATAAAGTGAATCTATTTGGATTTGCATTTTAATCATTAAATAAAAGTAAAAAAGGTATTATTATTTTTTTATTTCCCATATTAAGGTTTTAGTTATGATACTGCCAAAATCATTCCACAGAAGATTTTTACCAAAATTTTCCGCAAAAATAGCAAAAAACATCCGCAGATTCCGTCTGGCCCTAGCCATGACTCCAACAGTAAGTTGCAAAAAAGCTTAACAAAAAAAGACTTTTATTTTGGCGTGTGGTCTGACGTCATCAGGCGGCGCCGCTTCAGCGCTGTAATTCAACTGGAGAAAGGTTTGTTTTAAAAAGTTTACAGATATAAACCGATTTAAAGTTAAAGTTTTAGTTTTTTATATGATGTTAAATTATATTACTGCTGTTGGAAATATTATTTTAACCCTTTATACAACGTAGTACTATTTTATTCTCAGTAACCGAGGGCTTTTTTTTTTTAAATAAAGTAACAGAAAAGTGTGTAATAAGTGTTTTAAAAAAACGTTTTACCTGATTTGTTTTTGTTAATTACTCTTATATAAAGAAACTGTTTAAGTAGTTAAGTGTTGAAGAGAAGTTATTTTGTTTCTGTTCATTGTTTATTTTAAACAGGACATTTTTATTGTTTTGTTCATTTTAAACAGGTTAAAGTGTCCAAACACAGAGAAAAAAACTACTCCAGAATCGACTGATCTCCACACTGTTATAAAGATGGCGTTTATTAAAGAGGAGAGTGAAGATGTGAAAATTGAAGACAAATTCAGAGTCAAACAGGAAGATCTGCAGGAACAAACAGGTTGATTTTTATAATCAGGCCCCTTTTACACTTGTGCGTTTTAGTTTTAAAACGATGTCCACACTAGCATTTCACCTAGCTTTTCTGAACAGCTCTCTGTCCACACCAAAACGCTGAAAAAGCACATCACGTGACCACGCACACACTCTCGGGCAAGCGCTGCAGAATATCTATCAAAATGAGAGCTGTGCTCGTCGAACTGCTCATCAAGCATCTCCCGCTGGATCTAATCTCCCTATATTTATTAAACGTGATATTTCATTCATCTTGTTGTCTATATCTAACGACATTTTCCCCGACTTTCGTCATTGGAATCTATTACTTGTTCTCAGGTAACGTGCTTTGGCTGAGCGCAAAGATAAGTTAATGATTATGTTACCACGTAGCCTACATTCTGTATATTGACTGATCTCTTGCCTTTATTTCCTATAATGTATAAACTTATTGTATGTTATACTTTTATAATGGCCATTATCGATTATTAAAACTAATATTCAGCAAAAGAGAGAGTATGTTTCGTATTTTCACTGAAATTGAAATGAGGCAGTTGTTATTGGCTCCGTTTTGTTATAAATATCCACACAGTGAAGATGACGCTCATAAATGCAGCACAACGCCTCAACATTTCTGCTGTCTGTTAAGTTGATAATATCAAAATGAAAATAGGCAGTTCCTTAAATCATGTTTTCATTTTATTGTTTAGAAAGTGAAACAACGTAGCCAGGGTGATGTGAATGAAGTTATAAAGTACACTGTTCCCTTTGAAGATTTACCCGTGTCCTCTGTAGTCTGTTTTCCATATCAAACTGGGGAGGGGGAGACTGCAGCCTTGATCAAACTTGAGAAGTCTGAACTTACAAGAAGAGAATGCAGGACGGAATTTTGTGTCTTCGTCTTCCCCCATCCACAATGGAGCAGCAGTAATTTAGAATGAAAACGGCCTCTTCAGCGTTTCCAAAATGCTCCGTTTTCGGCACTCAAAAACTCCAGCGTAGTGTGGACAGATGGCGTAACCATAGCAAAACTTATGCATTTTAAAATGAAAACACATCAGTGTAAACGGGGCCTTAAAGACCAACTCAGTCATTTCATCCTCATTTAGATATTCATTCATTCATTCATTCATTTTCTTGTCGGCTTAGTCCCTTTTCCGCCACAACCGAAAGAAACGCCAACTTATCCAGCAAGTTTTTACGCAGCAGATGCCCTTCCAGCCGCAACCCATCTCTGGGAAACATCCACACACACATTCACACACACACTCATACACTAAGGACAATTTAGCCCAGGGATTCCCAAACTTTTTTATTCCGGGACCCACCTAGGCAAGTAATTAAATCTCAAGACCCACCATAATATTTTAATATGGAAAAATGGGTAAAAATAAATGTATCCATTCAAAGCAGTCAAAAATATATGGTGTGTGGCTTTTTTGTTTTTGCGATTTGATATACACAAAATGAGGCTCAAAGTGCTTTTTGTGGGATGCTGGCTGTAACTGTTATCATTTTTTGTTGAAAAAGATACTCCTCTTTTTTTCAGAAGAGAATATGATTAACCTTTGATCAAGCCCCTGGATTATGATCAAGCCCCGTCACATTGCAGTAAATTCCACTGCTTGTGTATAGTCATAAGAAACTAAATAGCTTTTTGATCGACTACTACAAGCTGGGAAAATGTCAGATAAATATGCCAATGCAATTAACATTATAGCTGAATTGATCTAATATTTACACATTTGCTTGAGGAAGGAGTGATGGGGGTAGTTACATTACTATTACTATTTTCCATAACATCTATGCCCTTCCATAACATTAGGTGACATTAAAACTAACAGATAGCACTATAACTATTTATTGAATAGAAATCTGTCAACGTTGGGATGTAAAAATATGGGACAACAAATAGCTTCAAATGATAGAATACTTAGCGAAAATAAAAACTATTTCACTTTTGACTGTATTTGCATATTGATTAAAGTTACTATAGTTATTTAGTGAAGAGCAGCAAATGAATCTGTCATTGTGTTTTGTTTGATAACAGAGGTGTTAATGTAAGAATGTAATGATCTACAATGAAGCATTCGACTACTTTAGTAACTGTTTGTGCTCATTTAAGAGAAAATTAGTAGTGTTTAAAATAAAACACGCAGAACAGAGCAAAAAAAAAAAAAATCACTTTTCCGACAGTCCCTTACTGTGAGTGCGAGATCTACCGGCTAAACGCAGATTGCAAGGGCTCAAACAGATTAGTGCTCGTAATTTTAAGCGAAAAAAAAGAAAAAGACAGCTGTAAAACATACTCAGCTTTGTCTTATTGTAGGAAACACACTTTAGATATTTTAGGGTAAGAGGTTTTTGAGTTATTGTTGTCAATCGTACTGGTTTTGATTCACCGCAATCTAAAATTGTCTGCAGCCATGTGCCTTTGTTCACTGTGACCCACAGTTTGACAACCCCTGATTTAGCCAACCCAATTCACCTGTACCGCATGTCTTTGAACTGCGGGGGAAACCGGAGCACCCGGAGAAAACCCACACAAAGTCATGGAGAACATGCAAACTCCACACAGAAATGCCAACTGAGCCGAGGTTCGACCCAGCGACCTTCTTGCTGTGAGGCAACAGCACTACCTACTGCACCACTGCCTCTCCTTTCATTCAGATATATTTTAATAATAAGAATACTAAATTAAATCCATCTTGCAGCTCTGAGTGTCCTGCCTAGTTCTCCTAAACGCACATAAGCACTCATTGAAAAACAGGAATATGTTTGCATATGTCATCCATATTATAATAACTAATTACCAGGGCTATTGTGTTTAAAGAGGGTTTCCGTGGAGTCTTAAAATGTCTTAAATTCCAAAATCAAAATTTTAGGCCTTAAAAAGTCTTATATTTACTGAAATATTGTGCTGTAGGTCTTACATCTTTTATAAACAAGTCTTCATTTTTCCTTTGGTCTTAAATTAAGGTTCATGTTTTTTACCCAATCTGGCCCAAACCCACATAATCACCATCAATCCATCTCATTGTTTTTTACCCAGACATTTAAAAATAATATATTTTAGAGCAATAATCACAGTACCTTAAAACCGTGATATTTTTATTCAAGCTTATCATACTGTCAGAATCTTATACTGGCCCATGCCTAATGCTGCTTGATGTTGCAAAGTCATATTTTCTTATTTAATTATTTTTCTTTGTATGTAAAGTCATGAACATGTATAGCCATTTATTATTCCATGTCATTTCTCCAATAGGCAACTGAATAGTAAGTTTTAAATCAATAGCATATAAGATCAGGTCACTATGACATGATTGAGAATTTTTTACGTCGCTGTTTGTCGTTGTACTCCGTTTATTCTGAGAGCTGATGCTGAGTATTAGTAGGAATTTTCACCAATGAAATTGTTAACCCTGGGTCATTCTAACCCTGGATAAACAGAATCCTGGGTTACCTGTAAATACGTTTCACACTGCTCATGCTATGCCTGGGGTTATAAATAATCCTGGATGTTCATTAACAGACAGTTCACATTCGCAAACCCAGAGTTAACATTATTATTTGTATATTTACGTTGTCACTGTCCTCGATTGGACAAAAAGCAGATAACCTTTTTTTTAAATGGCATTTCTGCATCTTGTCGGGTATAGAATGTCATCATGTAGGTCTTCAGCTAAGCCTCAGGACATACACAAAGGCAAGAAAACAAAGACAAAAGTACAAATGAATGAAAACAAGTAGCAAAGTTTGTCATCTTCTCATCACTCCAGTTTACAGCAAACGTGGCATTAAGCATTTGCACAAGTTCATTCATTCATTTTCCTTCGGCTTAATCCCTTTATTCATCAGGAGTCGCCACAGTGGAATGAACCACCAACTTATCAAGCATATGTTTTAAACAGCGGATACCTGTCCAGCTGCAAACCAGTACCGGGAAACATTTGCATAAGTTATATACAATAATGCAAACTCACTAATATAAGCTGAATTATGCATACTTGCTATGAACATGCAGGATTTGTGTCAATCAGGTTTTCCAAGAAAGAGATGCACATGAGGGAACACAACAGGAGTAATCTAGAGCGAGTGCATTTGATCATTTGCTTTTAAAGCCACAGGCACAAAAAGAGCTTGGTTTTTCTCCGACCTCCAAAATTAAATATTCTGCAAGGTATATGATCTGATTTTGAGCTGAAACCTCAGACACATTCTAGGAACACTAAAGACTTACTTTACATCTTGTTAAAAAGGTTCATAATAGGAACTCTTTTAAGGTATTTCTGACCCAGAAATGTAAATAGCCTCACCATTTACTTTCCATTGTGCGGTTTTAAACCTTGATGAGTTTCTTGATTCTGTTGAACACAAAATAAGATATTGTGATAAAAACGCTGGCTTACTTTGTGTTCCAGAAAAAAGGAAATGTTTAAAACCACATGATGGAGAGTAAATGGTAAGCTCATTTTAGTATTTAGGGTAAACATTGATTTCATGCTTGCCAATTTAAGCCTTCATACTAAAGTTCACTTTTTTGTTCTTTTTTTAAGACCTGATGGTGCTGAAAGAAGAGACACATCAATGGAATGAAATAGAAGAGAAACACCAAGACATAACGACTGATAAAAAACCCACACTGACTAAAAAGACTTCATCATGCGGAAGACCTCGGAAATCCAAGTCTAGTTGTAATTTGAGCTGTAAACAAAGTAGAAAGAGTTTCTGTCAAAAGCCAAACCTTGATGTTCACACTAGAAAGAAACCTTACACCTGCAAACAGTGTGGAAAAAGCTTCTATAATACAGGAAACTTAACAGTGCACATGAGAATTCACACTGGAGAGAGGCCGTACACATGCCAACAGTGTGGAAAAAGCTTCTATTCTACAGGAAACTTGGCGGTGCACAGAAGAATTCACACTGGGGAGAGGCTCTACTCTTGCCCTCAGTGTGGAAAGAGTTGTAAGCAAAATGGCAACCTTGAAGCCCACATGAGAACTCACACTGGAGAGAGAAGCTTTATTTGCACACAGTGTAGGAAAGGTTTTTCTCAAAAACAAAACCTTACCATCCACATGAGGATTCACACTGGAGAGAAACCTTACACATGCACAGAGTGTGGTAAAAGGTTCCCACATAAAGGCTCACTCAAACACCACATGATAAGTCACACCGGACAGAAGCCGTTTGCATGTGCTCATTGTGGAAAGAGCTTCACAACCAAAGCTAGCCTCATGAACCACATGAATGGTCACACTGGAACCACATGTGATCATTGTGGAAAGAGTCTCACATGCAAAGACTCCATTAAGCAACACATGAAGACTCACTCAGGAGAGCGTTTTCGATGCAGTGAGTGTGGAAAGGTCTTAAAACATAAAAGAAGCCTCATCAATCACATGAAGCTTCACAATGGAGAAAAAAAATGAGGCCTTGTCCAGCAGAGCTTAAGGCTTTCCCGGGATAGCATCTCGGGACAAGTGTAAACTCTTGAATACATCTCAAGTTACTGGAATGAAACCCTTTGAACCTGAAGATTTAAACTCAATAACTGAAGAGGGGTGAAGATGTGCCAGGTTGTGAGAGTTTCTACAGGGCTGCAAGAAAGCAAAATAACTTTATATGTGTTTCAAATTACTATGAACTGAGAACCAATTTTCTGCACACTGCAATCAAATGGTCTGCACTGAAAGGAGAATTAGAAAGATTAGGGAGGAGACAATGTTTGGGGAGATGCAGGGTAAACTGTCCTACACTCTTAGATTGTGTTTTTGATCATTCACATTGTTGGATCGTCACTCCCTTGAACAAACAGATTTGCCTCCAATTTTGGGCTTTTGTCTGCAGTTTCACAAAACTTGTTGGTGAATGAAAGTCCATCTAAACTTGGCCGGTGTGAACTTGCAATGACAGTGAGAGACTGATGCAGACTCCATAAAGCCCTGATCAGACTACACAATGCCATTTGCCTTTTACAACAGATCAGATTTGTGTCAGATTATGAGATTTTGACTTGATCAAATCTTGATGTGTTGTGGGTAACAAATGAAGACTTTGGTTTCAAAACACTACACATTTATTTTGATGGACTGACTTTAGAAAAGAAACTAGTTTTCTTCATGAAAACAATTAAACTTTCTGTAAACAACTGGTTTCCTTTGAAGAAATGTTCATGTGAAAACTCCCACATTACTACAAATAAATCTGTGTATGGGAAACCCAGTATCTCTATTGTGAATGAGAATATGAGTGATTTGTTAGCTTACAAGCTAATTCCAGTACTCAACAGATTACTGAGCTGATTAGGATGAAGCCTTTGAATAAGAATATTCCTTTAAAACTTATTATTACATTTTGGATCTCTAAAAAATAAAGATGGAAGAGAGAACATTACAGAATAGTGTGAAAGAAAACCTCTGATCAATACTGTGATGTTTTTAGGGCTAATATTAATTATTGTTTTAAACTCTTTAGGGTGACAAGCAAAACCCTGTTTAAAGAATGGGTTGAATAATTTTAATTTAGCAAAAAGATTGTCATTTCAAGTGAAAAAAGTCAAATGTGATTATAATCTATTTTAACAAGTTTCCATTTAATTTTGATGAGATCACAAGCACCAAAGCCACTCCTTCTACCTGCTCCATCAATAGAATATCCACCTGTTACCTCAGATGCCACTGAGCTTTTACTATAGTTCCCACTTTGATTTTGGCCACAACCAGCACCAGCAGTACCACCAGCTCCACCGACAACATGTACAGAGATGCTGAAGGACTGGGAGCCACTGGACAATGTACCACATGTCCCCTCAAACTACTTAATACAGTGATCTTTTTTTTTCTGCACAGTTGCCAGACTCCCCAGTAAACATCAGAAACAGGTGAGTTCAACAAAGGTTTCAACCCATGTAAAAAATAAAATAAAAAAAGATGTTTTACAACAAATAGTTGTAAATACTATAATATACAGCCCCTTTAAAAGTTTGGCATATTTTATAATAAGCTTATTGTGCTCACTAATTTTTTTAAATCACTGTTCTTTTATTAAATGTTCTTTAAAATTTTATTTATTCACGTTTAAGCCTGAATTGTACTCATGATTAGTCTTCAGTGTCATGATTATGGAGGACCAAGAGTACGGTGGCCGGAAAGTGCAAAACAACATTACAAAGTTTAAAACACTTTTACAAAGCTCGAGACAAATTTAAATTTTGAAAAACATGTTTACCTATCATCAGACACAATTACATAGGGAAAACAATTTTACCAAGGACGAAACAAATTTACATTTTAGAAAACAAATTAACAAGACGCAAAAACACTTTTACAAATCTTGAAACAAATTTACAATTAGATTCCCTACGGAAAAGGAATGTACCACACCCCGGAAGTGAAGTAGAATGTACCACACACTGGTAGTGACGCGGGGGAAAGTTGTTGTTGTTGCTGGTGAGCGCGGTAAATTCGCGCTGTGGAGTACATGGCGTAAACAAAGTTTATGGTGACTGAACATGGACAGCGGTCGAGGGTTGTTTTGCCCGTTTTGTGGCAAACACATGAGCAGCTTAACACAGTTTTGCTTTGCGTGTGGTCGGTGTTTAGAGTTTAAAAAGGACGCGGAACAGACGGAAACACCTGACATGCTGCATCAATGTGTTCAATATTTTTACGAGATCCACTCGTACGCTGTAATCGTGAACATGATGTCAAGTCTACATGGCATAAACCTCTGTACGACTTGAGATCGGTTTTGGTATCTTATCAGTCAACATGTGCCGTGCTTGAATCGTTTCCATGTACTTGCATTTACATGTTTCTATGCACTCTCTCGCTGATATTGTCTTAGAATAGCTCTAATATGTTTTATCGCAGTTAGTCAAACCATGATTTTTATAGTTGTAGACTTGTGTATACCTGTCTACAAAGTCACACGCGAGCTGGATATTATTGATATTTTCCTGTGTGTGTTACATTCCAGTTCACTACCAGTGTGTGGTACATTCTACGTCACTTCCGGGGTGTGGTACATTCCCTTTCCGTAGGGAATATAATTGTAATTGTGTAATTGTGTCTGATGATAAGTAAAAGTGTTTTTCAAAATTTAATTTTGTCTCGAGCTTTGTAAAAGTGTTTCAAACTTTATAATGTTGTTTTGCACTTCCCGGCCACCGTACAAGAGTGCTAGTTAGAAAATCAAAGACTCAAATGAACAATTTAATTATTGAAGCATAAAAATGTCTTTATTTTCTTGTCGGCTTAGTCCCTTTATTAATCTGGGGTCGCCACAGCGGAATGAACCGCCAACTTATCCAGCAAGTTTTTACGCAGCGGATGCCCTTCCAGCTGCAACCCGTCTCTGGTAAACACCCACACACACATTTACACACACACTATGGACAATTTTGCCTATCCAATTCACCTGTACCGCATGTCTTTGGACTGTGGGGGAAACCGGAGCACCCGGAGGAAACCCACGCGAATGCAGGGAGAACATGCAAACTCCACACAGAAACGCCAACTGAACCGAGGCTCGAACTAGCGACCTTCTTGCTGTGAGGGGACAGCACTACCTACTGCGCCACTGCTTCGACCAGCATAAAAATGCACATGATTAAATCACAATTTAAATGTTTTTAAATGTCATTTAATTATCAATAAAACAATGCATTACAAATACATTTTAAATCTATAAATAAATATACACTTTTATTACTGTATTTTTATTTAATTCATGTTTTAAAGGCTGATTAATCAAACAGTAAAAATTTGGGTTAATAAATCACAAAACACATTTTAAACAGCTTTTTAAATAAGCATTTGGCAAATGCTTTTCTCCCTATTTGCTGCTTGGTTTTCTTTTTCTTTTGCCACATGCTTTTCTCAAATTGAAAATGAATCGAGTTAAAAATGTTAACAGTTTTATCTAGATTAAATGACCTTGGTGATAAAGATTTTCTTGGAGATATAGAACAAAATGAACATTGTATTTTGCCATCAGAGTTAGATTACTATTATACAGAAAAAGCTAAAGGAGCTTTATGATCTAGAGTGAAATGGATAGAGGAGGGGGAGAAAAATTCTTCATATATATATATTTTTTAAATTTAGTAAAGCATAGACAATCTTCAAAAACTATTAATAAACTTAGCATAAATAACAATGTAAGTGAAGAGAAAACTTTGATTGATGATCACATCTATTCATATTATTATATAAGTCAAAACTTAATGAGGTTGGTTGTGACTTTTTCTTTTCCTTTTCAAAAGATAAAGTTCCTATTATAGATGACAGCTTCCGTGAAATGATGGAATCTGAAATTGTTATCTCTAAACTTGATGTTGCTATTTCTCAAATGTTCAATGGAAAATCCCAGGCATACACGGAATTACAGGTGAGTTCAATAAACATTTTTGGCCAGAGATGAGATTTTTAGTTTTTGAAGCACTTAAGGAAATTAAAGACAAAGCAGAACTATCAACTTCTATGAAGCAGAATTTAATCATTTTAGTTCCAAAGCCAAGCAAAGACAAATTATTTTTAAACAATTGGAGACCCATAACTCTTTTGTCCAATGATTTAAATTGCTCTCTCATGTATTTGCCAATAGACTCAAAAAAAGGTATAGGCGAGATAATTAATGAAACACAATCAGCTTTCATTAAAGTGAGAAGTATTCAGAATGATAGTTGATATGCTCGATTATTTAATTCCTCAGACAAGTTTATTTCTATTTCTAGACTTTTTCAAGGCATTTGATACCCTTGAGCATCCTTTTTTGTCTTTAGAAAGTCTTTAGAAACTTTTGGGTTTGGTCCGAGCTTTTGTAGGGTAATTTCCATGTTCTATACTGATATATTCAGTAGTAAATCACTGAATTTAGGATCATTTCCTAGAGTTTACATCAAAAGAGGAATCCATCAAGGATGTCCCATCTCACCTTTTCTTTTTAATATAGCTGTTGAACTTATGTCATTATATTTAAAAAAAATTCAGAGTACACTTTAGGTATATTGATATACTTGGTAGGACTTTTACTTTAAGTCAGTTTGCTGATGACACTCTATTAATTCTTAAAAATAAGGAGGTGCTCCCTTTAGCTCTTGTCAAAATTTCTGTTTCCTAAAACTTCTGAATTGACCTTAAACCTAAGAAAATATTAATATTTTATAAATATTAACTATTCAGAATTGTACTTTAAGAGAATAAGAGGGTATTCTAGTAAAAGAAGAAGTTGAATACTTGGGAGTTACCATCACCAAAAATTCTGTTAATAGAGAATGTGCAAATGTTAATATTAAAATGGAAGGGATGAAAAAATCCCTAAATCATTGGCTAGCTAGAGACCTTTCCATATAGGCTAAAATTCTTTTGACTAGGATTATCTAAAATTATATATTTAACTTATCTTTTATATACTCCTCCCAAAATAGTTAAATCTTTAAATTCAATATTATTTAAATTTATTTGGAAAAATAAATCATATTATTTACGTAAGAATCTTATGGTCAAAGAGTATGAATATGGAGGTTTGAAAGCTCTCGGTTTTGAATGTCTTCTTGGCACTTTTAGAGTTAAATGATTGAAAGAGTGTTTAGCTAAGCCTTATTCAATATTGTATC